AGAAACAAAAAGCAAAACAAACACAGCAAAAGCATAATCAGACCTATCAATTCACCTTCAACTTCAACAGTAAAAATTTCATTTTATTGGACTCCATCAGAATCCAGTGATTCAGTGAATATTTTTCCCACCAAGAATAAATTCCAACTAAAGATTCTAATAACCCATCAAACACACCTACGCTCACATAGAAAGATAATAACAAAACTAGACAAAAGTTCAAGAATTGAATACAAGATTTCTGGCCATGATGGGAGGAAGAGAGCGCAGAAACACGGTATCGGCAACGGTGAGGAGCAATCAAGACCCTTCCAAGAGAGAAGGGCTTTCTTCTTAAAACGTCTCTGTCGGTGGCGTCTCTTGCAAGAACACGTCCCAACATCAAAGGTTTAGAGGAAGACACAAGGGCCAAGTTCAGGTTGTCCATCTTCTTCTCGTTTCCAAGATATGTAAACCAGAATAAAAAAGACCCAGAAGTTAATAGCAAAGAATGAACTAAAATGTTGAAATCAGTAGGGATAGGAGTGGCAGTGGATTTGGAAGCAAAGGGGTGCAATTTATGGGAAATTTTGGACCGGTAAGTGGGGGTTTGGAGGTTGGAGAAGGGGCAAGATTGCAATGGAGTGTGGAGTGGCTAATGAAGGTTTGAGGTTTTGGGTTGTATAGTTATAGGGATAAGTGGCAATGAAAACTTCAACTTTGCAAATGTTATTAGAACGATGTCGTCTATAGAATATTTGCTGACATTTTTTTTTTCTTTTTATTTTTTGTTGTTGCTTGCTTTGAGTGAGATTAGGCTGCGGGGTTTATAAGCTTTTTTATTTTGATTAATTTTACAATTAAATAGTTTCATATATTTTAAGAGAAGAAAAAGTCTTGATATAATTTTTTGATTTTCATACAAGACGGTGGGGGATTAAGTCCGATTCCATATTAATTCGTAAAAAATGAGTTAAATTGCCAAGTAAGTTGAATTTTAAAATTTTATCTCTCAAATTGTTAAGTTGTTGAGTTGGTTTGTTTTTTTTTTTCTATTATTGAAAATCTAATATTTTATATATGAATGGATTGAAATTTTTTGTTGGGTTAAAAATAACTAATATTAAAGTTGATGTTTGGTTGCCAACTGATGTGGAACTACCAAGCTGCCAAAAACAGAAGAAATTTAAAAACTTGGAAATATACAAAATAGTAACTGAAGCCATTTAACAAAAAGACAACATGGACTAGGTAGACTCTCAAACTTGGCCGATCAAATTGGTTTGAATTCTCAAATTAACAATATTGTTTTGAACTACACTTTTTTAATGGTTTAATTGCTTATTTTGTTAATAGTGTATCAACTTCATTCTTTTTTTAAAAAAAAATTTAACTTCGTGCATATTTAATATAATCTGCATTAATCAAATCTAATTATATTGACAATGTTTAAATAGATAATATTGACTTATTTTTGAATTTGTGTTGTGCATATTTTGTTGTCGTGACATTATCTTCTCATATTGATTGTGACGTGTAAATCACACGACATGACAGTGCGATATGATTATAGTAGTTTCTGTCTCAATTTTTTTTTAAATGTTTAGTAATAATTTGTTCCTTTCTAAATTCAAATCAAATTTATCTTTTATATAAATGTTATACAAATATTTTTGTTAAAATGATATTTTTATTAAATAATTTTAATAAGATTAAGTTTATTTATATTTATATTTTACATTGAACTTTATTTAAAATCATTTTCAAATTTAAATATATCTGTTTTAAATTGTTATAAAATTGTTTGAAATTATTTTAAAATTTTATATTTGAATTTATAAAATTGTTATTTTTTAATGGAAAAAACAACACAATACAACCAATATACCATATAATGTAGTAGATAAAATTCTCCTAACTTTCTAGAATCTATGAAGAGTAATAACCAACGAATAGCAACAATAAATCACTATAATCAAAAGGAATCCTTTTGTAATATTGATCACATATAAAAGACTCAAACTTCTTATACCATGGTCTTAGAACTTACTTCAAACCATATAAACTATTTCTCAGCCTACACACATCATCTTCCTTGTCTTTAAAATGAAAACTATCAGGTTGTTTTATGTAAATCTCTTCCTCCAAATTACCATGAAGAGAAGTTGTTTTCACATTCATCTACTCAACCTCCAAATCAAAAGTAGCAACTAAACTTAGCATAGTTCTAATAGATGACATTTTCACCACAAGTGAGAAAATCTCATTGAAATCAACACCTTTTTTTTGTCTAAATCCTTTCACCACTAATCTAGCCTATACCTTGGAAATGTAGAATTTGAATCTTGTTTCACCCAAAAAAATCCAGCTGGTTTCCAAAGCCCTTTTGCCCTTAGGCAATTTCACCAAATAATAAGCGTAATTATCATGCAAAGATTTCATCTCATTTTGCATTACATCCAGCCACAGTTGTTTTTCTTCACTATCTAAACCTTCTTCAAAACATTTAGGTTTTCCACCATCAATCAAAGTTACATACTCGTCTGAAGGATATCTGGAAGATGGTTTTCTCAGCCTCTTGGACCTCCTGGTAGGGACTTGTGGTAATTAAGTTATATCACCAAGATCATCATCATACTCCTCTTGAGCATCATCAATCGAAACCTTTACTCCATTTCTAACCTGTTGATCATCAACATCACTATGTTGATCATCATCTTGAGCTTCAATCTCAACATTATCCAGATTGTGAACTGACAATCACATTGGATTACCATTAGTGAGATTATGATCCTTCTTGAGTATAGTCTTCTCCACCTTGTTAATGTCTTTAATGGTTTGATCTTCCATGAATTTCACATCATGAATTTTTACTAGCTTCAATATCATACAACTTATAGCCAAATTCATCCTGATCATAACAAATGAAGATACCTTGCCTTGTCTTTGCGTCTAACTTGGATTTTTCATCCTTTGGAACATAAACAAATGCCCTACAACCAAAGACATGCAAATGATCATTGCCAACATTCTTACCAAACCAAATTTTGTCTAGCACCTCAGTATTCAAAGCAGCTGCATGACTAAGGTTAATAACATGCACTGCTGCAAACAATGACTCTCCCCAAAAGCGCTTAGGCAACTTTGCTTCAGAAAGCATACATCTAACTTGTTCAATAAAAGTCATGTTCATCATCTCTGCTAGATCATTGAACTAATAAGTTTTAGGAGAAGTCTTTTCATGTCCAATACCTTATTGTCTACAATAAGCATTAAAGGGTCCACATTACTCACCACCATTATCAATACTGATACATTTCAGCTTCTTGCTTGATTGTCTCTCAACATAGCATGAAATTCCTTAAAATTTTCAAGTACTTGATCCTTTAATTCAAGTGCATAGACCCATAGCTTCCTGAAACAATCATCAATAAAAGTAACAAAGTAAAGTGTATCACAAAATGACTTTACCTTCAACGGGCGACAAACATCATAATACATCAATTCAAGCAACTCCGACTTCCTTGAGGGAGGATGTTTCTTTAAAAAAAACTTTAGTTTGTTTACCATCCATACAATAAGAACATTTCTCCAACTTTGCATTCTTTAATCCTAAAAGAACATCCTTTTTAGCTAAGCAACTAAGCCCTTTCTCACTTATATGACCAAGTCTCCGATGCCACAAAGATTCTTATACATAACAATCACAATGTCTTCAGAAACCATAATACAATTTAGAGTGTTTCTCCCCTTTGTCCATATCCAAATTACCTTTAATGAGCCTCCATTTACCATAACCAAAGTGGTTGTCATAACCACAATCATCAAGCAAATGCATAAATATCAGATTAAAGTAAACATTCGGAGCATGTTTGATTCATCTAAGTAATAATTGCACTCTCATGTTGGTTTGCAAACCCACATCATCAACACCAATAACCTTTGAAACACCATCATTACCCATCTTAAACATTCTAAAATCACCATAAGTGTAAGATGTGAAGAACTCCATTATCAATGTAATGTACAGTGTACTATTACTATTAATAATCAACATGCTCTCGTTAGTGCAAGATTAACAGACTCAGTTACGAAGAAGAACAATATCAACACTTATAGTAGTAGTGACACAATCATCATTATGATTATCATTCTTTTTCTATTGCGAACCTCCTATCAATGTTTCAACTTGATCAAACGGTAAACGAATATAAAAATTTTGTTATACCAAGACTGCATAGTAAAAATTTCTACAAAATTTCTCCTCTATCTTTTCTCTCCCAAGTTATGTGCTCTCTATTTTGAGAAATTAAAGAGACTCACACACCGACTTGGTAGCCCTCCCACTAGTAAAAATATATTAATCACAATTTTGGACTTTTTTTTTGACATAGTTGTGAGTTTAAACCCAACATTTTAAAACCAACTCAACCATTTGTATAAAAATGATTGAATTTTACAGATTTTAAAATATAAAATTATTTTAAAAAATTGAAGAGGTTAATACATTAATTTTATTTTATGAAACACAATTAATAAACAACTATTAACATTATTTTCTAATAACAACTTTAATTTTTTTTTAAAATAATTGAAAACGAAAATAAATACAAAATAACATGAATACAAAGACCCAACATGATGGATATATAAATACTTATCCATTTCTATAACCAAACCAAAGAAATCTTATATTATTCATCATCTTATCAATACCAAGATTTCCTTCAAAAGGAACCAAGTCTTATAATGTGTTTTTCTTTTTTATTTCTCTTTTCTTTTCATATGATATCTGCCTTTTTATTTCAAAACCGGTAAAAAATACAATTTAAAATTGAATTTATGAAATAGTGTGAGTTGGATTTTCAGTGAACCATTCAATGAAAACTTTTAAAGTCCACCGAAAACATTGGTTTTTAAGTCTTAGTTTCTATAAATGTTCATAGTACTTACTCGACAAATTTCTCATATTCTAGTTTATTTATTTGTATTAGTACTTGATATTTATTTATCTTGATGTCGTAGCTTTTAAATAACGCAGCGTGTATTGGATTAGGATCCTATCCAATGGAAGTCAGCGAAGAAGGCACAAGGAGGGTGCAACCCCTCGCCCAATCGGGTCTCTCTCGGGTTCCACCCCAATACATTCAACCTCTTCATACCCGACCCATTTTCCACACCCGAACCGAACCACGGAATATTCCTCTCATCGACCTATCGTTCTTCGACCCGACCCGCCGCGCCTCCACCCTTGAATCAATCGCAAGCGCCTGCCGCGACTGGGGCGCCTTCCACGTCACCAACCACGGCGTCCCTCTGTCACTCCTCGGCGCCATTCGCCGCACTGGCCGCGCATTCTTCACCGACTGCCCCATGTCGCAGAAGCTCCGCTACGCCTGCTCCACGACTGCGTCGGAGGGCTACGGCAGCAAGATGCTGGCAACCTCCGATCAGCAGCAAGACGACGCGCAGGTCCTCGATTGGAGGGACTACTTCGACCACCACACTCTCCCCCTCTCTCGGCGGAACCCTGATCGGTGGCCGGAGTTTCCCCCCGATTACCGGGACACAGTGGCGAGGTACAGCGACGAGATGAAGATTCTGGCGCAAAAGTTGCTGGCTTTGATATCTGAGAGTCTAGGGTTGCGTGCTTCGTGCATTGAAGATGCTGTTGGAGAATTTTACCAGAACATCACCATTAGCTTCTATCCTCCGTGTCCCGAACCAGACCTCACGCTTGGGTTGCAATCGCATTCTGACATAGGTGCAATCACGCTTTTGATTCAGGATGACGTGGAGGGTCTTCAAGTGCTAAAGAGTGGTGATGGTGGTGTTGACAAGTGGGTTACTGTTGAACCCTTGTCAGATGCTGTTCTTGTCCTCTTGGCTGACCAAACTGAGGTAAATAAACTGTTGACCCTTTTGGTTTGTATAAATTTACAGTACAATAGGAAATATGGAAATTCTTTTGAACTTGAACATTTGATTTTTGTACTGGACAGATGTTGTTATTAGGTCTTTTTGGGGCCGGTTTTCAATCATAATTGAAGTTTTATCTCGGTAATCTATACTGGTATTTAGTTGTTACCTCTGATGAGACAAGGCTATTGAATAATAGGACTAGGGGTGTGTTTGGGATATATAACATTGGGTTGAAAGTAACCCACGTTTTCCCTAATCCACCTATACAGCTCCTTCTCTATTTTCATCTTCCAAATGTGTGAAGGGATTCTTAGTGTTTGTCAAACGCCAAACCAAACACACACTAAGAGCATCCGAAGAGAAAAAAAGTACTTGCAAAAAACTCTCAGACTTATTCTTATTGAGTGAAATTTGGTTGAATTTCAGTGATCACATTTTCCCATTTGGGTTTACTCCCAAACTAGTGGGAGCTAGGTGAGTTTCAACTGATAGAAGAAAGAGGGATAGAAAATTTTTTAAGAAAAGAATGTACTGATAGTATGCCTCTAATATGAAATAAGTGGGTTGGAGAATTTTGGCTGTATTGCCATTTATTTAAAGTGCCGAGAGTTAAGAAAAGCAGATGCCTGAAGCGTTTAGGGGAAAGCATTTTTTTTTTTTTTTTTAATTTAGATTACTGAGCACGGCCAAAGGGGTTTATGTGAGCAATTTATGGCACGAGTATGGTATATGTGCATTGCAAAGGAATAAGCACTAGCATGATCTATTTGTGACCAGTTTTATTAAATTGCTAACAATTGCTGAAATTCAAGTAAGTAGGTGTGAAGTATTGGTTTTTATGTTGTATTGAACTTTGTTTGGGACATTAAATTCAATGGACAGGTTATGATTTACCAGATAATATATATAATATTGCAAACCGTTTCACTTCAATTGGGGAAGTGGGTGTAAGGAGGAAAAATGTGTGGAAAAGAGAGATTGTTTTTCCATGTAAAAATTATTATTTAGAACTGGTAAAAAACATGACAGGTTCGGTTTTATTTAACGAGTTCCAATTTTTAGCTAAATTGGCGCCATTACTATCCCTCAGCTGTGGAGAACAATGTTTCTTTCTGGATTATAAGCATTTGCTTGTATCATTTTGACTTGTAAATTCAGTATTCTACAACATGGCAGCTTAATAGTGAATTCTGATGATCTGTGATTCTTTATCCTGATTGACCATTGATTCATTAAGTTAAATAAAAGTTGGCTAAATTTGGATGAAGAGAAAGTTGGGGTGAATTCAACCACAATTGGTCTTTTTGCAAGTTTTCAATTAACAGAAAATTCTTTTGGCACCAGATTATAACCAATGGAAAGTACAGGAGCTGTGAGCATAGGGCAATTACTAATCCTGATAGAGCAAGGCTTTCTGTGGCAACATTTCATGACCCTGCTAAGACAGTGAAGATCTCCCCTGTCTCTGAACTGATAGATGAGTCATCACCTGCTAAATACCGTGATGTTGTGTATGGAGACTATGTGTTATCATGGTATACCAAAGGCCCTGAAGGAAAACGAAATATCGATGCACTTGTGCTGGATTCTTAGGTTTGTGCATTTATTTTTCTCTCCTTGTCTCATGGCTTGGCTTGTATCTTGTGGGGTAGAGTAAGTAAAATTATTTCATAATGTAAAATTCCTCATTCTTGGATAGTAAATAAAACCTTGAATCTTCTTTACTATGGCAACCTGTTTTAATGTATGATAGAACAACAGAGAATGATAATCACTGTTTTGTTGTAATTAAGAACAATATGATATCTACAATCTTTCTTTGATCTCCGATCAGTTTTATGAGCCGTTTGCAACTATACAATATTGACCCTTTAGGCTTTCATATTGATAAAGATGAGAAGTAATGAACTCTATGACACATTTACTGAAAATCACATACAGTGAAAAAGGGTTTGGAAGCAACTATGAAAGAAAGGGAGAATCTTTTCTAACTTAGCGCTAAACCAATAACCAAGACCCTTTAGTGTCCAAAAATAGACCAATCATCTGAAAAAGAAAACTACCCTTAAACAAAACATTATTTCTCATAATTCAAAATCATCAAACTACAATATGCCATAACAGACTTCTTTTAGTTTTTGTTTGATTAAATAGTCCGTTCAGTCTTTTAAAGTGTGATTCACATTTAACTATGCACGTATTAAAATTTTAAGAAGTGCCTGATATCATTACTCATGTGCAGTATTAATTAGTTTAATAATAAAATTATAATTTGAATAACTACATTAATGTTAACATCATTAGGAGATAATCAAGTGCGACTCCAAACCATATTCTCCTTCTCCAATCTCTTCTTTTTCGATCACAGTCAAGATGACCTCCTTCAGATTCAAAATCACATATCCAAGATCTTCCTTTTTGTCTAATGCATCATTAGAGATAGACATATGAACTTAGTTTTACCTTTTTGAGATGGGCAAATGAAATTGCTCCCACCATAGACCTAGTTAACACTACGAGGCAACAAGCACAAAACACACATTGATTGTAAGGCCTCTGGACAACCTCCCTCCATGATGACAACCTCACTTCCCAATTACAACAACAAAAAAACGCACACCTCCTCGCACTGATTAGCACCACTATAGGGAACCAATGAGCCTTTAGTGAAACAACAAATTAATGAATGCACAAAACAGGGAAAACCTACCTTAAACCAACGCACGGTAGAGGAGGGAAGCATCCTTCTTTAGTGAAGGATAATAAAAAAATAAAGGGGGAAACGAGAAAATTCAAGTGGGGCACGAAAACCTCTCACTAGTGCAGGGAATTGAATAAACTAAAGAATGCAACTTGCAAAGGAGAATGAAAGAACGAATGGGAGAACATGCAAAATCAATTGGGGAACGACAACCTCTCACCGGTGTAGGGGATTGAATCAACAGAAGAGGACAATTGACAGAGGGGAATGAAGGAAGAAGAGGCAATGCGCAAAATGAATCAGGAGAAGGAAAACCTAAGTTATATCATAGAGCATATTATCGACGGGTTATATCTGTCGGTAAACTAAATCATACACCCCTTATCGACAGATATATCTGTCGGTAAGTACAACATAAACATTTATTGATAATTTTGTTTGTAAATCCATCGAAAATTACCATTTATCGACAGATATGATTCTGTTAGTAAAAATTTGTCAAAAATATGCATTTTTACTATAGTGCCTTTATTTTGAAGCTAATGAAATAATCTTTATCAAAATTATTGTCTAGGATAATACGTTGAACAATATCTATGTCTAGATAATATCCTAAACACAAACAATATAAAATACTCTAAACAATTTGATAAATAGGCTCACATAAATGCTATAGTATAAGGACTACGCTAAACTCTATAATAAGCATCTAAGGTTTTAAATTCAAATGTATGAATGCTACTTTTTGTTTGTTGTGTTGTTTTTCTTTATCTGTGCAGATCCATAAAGGATAAATGTTTTATTCAAAAGCTCTATACTGATTCAGAAGAACGTTAAGAGATACAAAGACATTTTAGAAATGTTTCATCAATGCCTTTTGTTTGCTAAAACTGTACAAGCAAAATAATTGCCACTATAAAAGTAATATAGCATTGACCTCGTACAAAAGGCTACACACCTACTTCAAACTCAATGCTTCTGAGTAAATAATCTTTCTTGAAGTTGCCCACATAAAGAAGACCACATGAAGAGAAGAAGATAACAAAAAAAAAACTGCATATATTATCACGCTGCCAAAATTCTCTTGTCGTTGCATTGTCTAGCTCTTTGAAAAAAAAATTCTTTGTAACAAGTTTTTCAGATATACTTGGTATTGATTTAAATCATCTCTAAGAGTGTTTTTCAATCTATACTTGTTTTTAAAAACACTTTGTTGTTTTTGGATAATTAGAAATGATTTAAAACACTTGGTTGTTTAATTCAGGGGGAGTTAAACGTTTTAGTCAATTGAACTATTATATACAGTAATGGTGAAACTCATTATAAAACCAGGAGTGGTGAAATTCATAAGTTTTAAAGTTAGTAGAACCCTTTAAGAGTGTTTAAAAGAAAACGTGATGTAGCTCAGTTGGAATGAATATAAAAATGAATTTTTATCTTTGTTCTCTTTTATTGTGTTTCTAAATACTTTAAAAAATCTTTAAGTTTTCAATATTATCTGTAGACTGTCTAACTTCTATAAACTGTGTCTAACACTAATTATGAAAAGTTTTTCAAACTCTATCCAACTTTTTTTTCTAAAATTTGTCCAAGTACATGCATGTAGAAAAAAGACATTTAAAAAATTATTCAAAATAATATAACAGTCATACATAGAAGCACATATAATTGTACCACATAACCAGCAACCATCCAAATCAGGTTAGTGGTCAATTGACATTAACAACAACATTAAAACCTTGAATTATTTAAGAGAATACCGATAAGCTTACAAAGCTTTCGAGCTTGAGTTTGCATTTTATTATAACTAAGCTAGTGTCATTGATTGTAGTTTATGGCTACATATTAACATGAAGAGAAATTATCCTTCGGTAGGCCATAACCATGAATATTCATGCGTATACTTGAGTCTCTGTCTCTCTGATTGTAACAACAAAACAACAAAAGAAAAGAGAATAAATTGTCACTTATTAATTACACTACTTTGTTGGTGATAGTCACATTGAAATATATACTTTACATAATTTTTACCTCCCATAGACGATTCACTTACTCTTCAATCCACGAGTGTCTACATTCATGGAAAAAGTTGACCTTAAGGATTTTTTTCATTAATGAAAGATAAAAAAAAAATGAACCTTATAACTTACCTCTCCGACGGCGTATAATTTATTCAACCTAAAAATTCTGATTTCAGCCCTACATTCATTCATATAAAAGGTTAACCTTAAGGATTTTTTTCATTAATAAAGATAAAAAGAAATTATGAACCTTATGTCATACCTCTCCTTAAATAAATTATTCCTTTCTGGATTGAAATTCATAAGATGTCTGCATTTATATAAAAAGTTAATAATAAGAATTTCTTTTTCAGTGGTAAATATAAGAAGAAATGATGAACCCTATGACACACCTCTTCAAAAGTGAATTATTTATGCATTGATCGATATCCGTGAAGATCCTGCGTTCATAAAAAAAACTTGACCTTAACTCCTTTTTCATTGATAAAGATAAGAAGAAATGATGAACCTATGACACACCTTCCAGTAGGCAAATTACACTCGCTTCCGTTGATATCAATGAGGGGCCTACATTCATATAAAAGACATAAAAAGATAATAAATAATGAACCATATGACACAATTAATGAAAATCGCATACAAATATGAGAATGTGTAAGTATAATGAAGGAAGAAAAAGTTCTTTTGTTTATATTCTTCAACAATTGCTATTTTTCTGAAAATATACAGGCTATATAATTTGTACCGTATGACTATTACAGTTCAGACTACAAACTATAATTTAAATGGTCAAACAACAAACTCGATCACTCATCAAATACGTCATTTAATCATGATTCAACCTAGATGGTTAATTCGAAACTTAGAGAGTCAGCAAACCCAATTGAATATCAAAAAGACCGGTTGATCATACACAATTTGGATAGATGTCTCACAACTTAGAGTGCAAGCCACTAAGTTTGGTCAATCACCAAACAAGCCAGCTGACCATGTATTAATATAGATAACCAATCATCAACTCAGTGAGATGAACACTGAGCCTAGTTGGCCATCAAACAGGTTGGTCGGTCATGCACCAACTTAGATAAGTTAAACACTGGCTTGGATAAGAAGTTGAGCTTGGATGATTACCAAAGAGATCCTCCAACCTTGAATTGGACGGATCCAAATGAATAATACTATAACAAATTACCCTTAAAATTGGTTAACTTAAGATTAAAATGTAATTACTCACAATTGATTAAGTCAACACTAATAAAAAATCCATCACAAAACCTATAAAAAAATATTTGAGGTAAAAAAGTAGGTTACATTAATTGTGAGATTAATTGCAATTTGTCAAAAGTTAAACTGATTATCGCATTAAAGTATCTTCTGCACATATATATCACCCGTTTGATTTGGATGCACAGGAGACGTTTATTGGATAACATTTGGTTTTCAGATAAGACAATACAACTTAGACAATTGCCCTTAACCCTACACCCGAATCATAATTTATAATTATGAATTACTTATAAATAATATATAGAAAGCAAACTGTCAATGACAAGAACAACAACATAGCATAATTCTTTCAAATGCTTGAGTATCTTGTTATCTATGAACACTTTC